AAAAGAGAGCACATTACACCAGTTTTGGCCTCACTGCACTGGTTACCGGTTCACTTTCGAATCCAGTTCAAAATACTCCTGTATGTCTACAAATCATAGAACAGTTTCGCACCCCCATCTCTCTGATCTGCTACAACCGTATGTCCCACCACGCTCCCTGAGGTCAGCGGACCAGTTGCTCCTCACAGTTCCAGGAACTCATCTTAAGCGCAGAGGTGACAGGACCTTCTCTGTAGCAGGACCAAGACTCTGGAATGAGTTACCTCTGCTTGTCAGACAGGCCCCCTCCCTCTCGGTTTTCAAGTCCTGTTTAAAAACTCACTACTATTCAGTATCTTTCAACACCAGATGATCTGTGATTTGATCCTGTATGCTCCACACTGGTTAGTCGTCATTATCTGCATCGTTTTTATGTCTATATTCTGATTTACCTCATTTTGTATTTTGCTTTGTGTGTTACCTGTTGTTCTGTCTGTACAGCACTTTGGTTGGCCTTGTAGCTGTTTTAAGTGCTCTATAAAAATAGTGGTATGGTATGGTAATAATTGTTGCACGGTTCAGCGCACAGCTTCACTCTGGAACAACATCTGCCACAGAAGTTAAACTCTGCGAGTCAGTTCAATAAATAAAGTCGACTTTAGAGGCTAATTGAAAGGAAACAGTCCATCATGATGAGCTGCAGATCTGCTCGAGTCACATTGAGTTCAGTAAGACCAGACCTGAGGACTTGTGGAAGGAGACACGTGCTACTGCTCCTGTTGATTTTTTTCATTCAACCTTTATTTGTACAGGTTAGTCCCATTGAGCCTCGGGGACTCATTTACAAGAGAGACCTGGTTTTAACAGAGTGATGACAACAGTGAACAACAACGACAACCAAAGAACACACAGCTGAGACATGTTTACATTTTTGTACGCGTCAGATAGCTTATAGACATTCTAATTTTATGATAATAATATCATTAATGATTTTTACGTAACCAGCTCTTGGCTATTTTGCCAGCATCTACAGCGCTCCAGACATTTGCCCTCTCTGGTTATGGCTGCCGTCCCTCCCGTGAGTCACGTCATGTGACCACTGCCCCCTCCAGTTGTCTTATGGGCAGACCTGATGGTGTGCCGTATGCCTCCTCGTGGACCCACAGAACCGTTGTCTGGGTTTTACCTGCACAGGTGTTAATGCCCCTCCCCCCTTAGACAGGCGCTGGCTGAGGTGACGACGGCTCTACGGGAGAAGCTCCACCGCTGGCAGCAGATCGAGTCTTTGACGGGTTTCAGTTTGCTCAACAATCCGGGTCTGGGAGCACTGGCAAACGCCTTGAACCTGGACCCGGCCATCTTGGGCCTGCGACCCCCGGCCCCTCAGAACCTGCTGCTCTCTGATGACCTGGACGACATGGACGAAGACATCCTGTCTCCGGGGACGCTGCAGTGTAAGTCTTTACACTTGTCTTTGTGAAGCCTGAGGTCCAGAGCTGTTAATTCTCAGTAAACAACCTGTCCTCAGCTCACCTGTCCTCCACCCTCTGACTCCGCCCCCTCCTGTGACTCTGTCTCCTGATTGGCTCCCTGCAGATGCAGCCTGGCAGATGGACCGGCGTGTGAGCGACCTGTGGCCGTTGAGCGGCATCACGGACAGCCAGTCACCATGGAAACAATCAGGTTGGCCCCGCCCTCTTTCACTTGTTTCTGATTGGTTAGCTTGAGCTTCTCTCTGAAGTTTATTGAAGAAAAATATTTTTTAACAAAATACTTTTATAAAATGTGTTCCACTGAGATGGGATTAAATTTAAAACTGCCTCCAGAAAAAGAAGAGTCGTCTTTCTGTATTTTTGTATTTTCTACTCGCTGCGTTGTAAATTATCTGGAAACTTTTAAAAACTACATTCTTCTGGTTTTCCTTCAAAATAAGAGCGTGGCGTAACTCTTCTTCCTCCTGCAGTTCAGAGTCTGATGCCCCTGCGACCAAGGATGGGAGACCCCGGTCTGGCGTTCAGCTCCCAGAGGTTGGTTGAGGGGCGGGGCTTATTTCATAATGGATGTGGTTTGTTTACAGGGTCCTTCCCTCTGAGTAGACACTCACCAGAATCACAGCCACTCCATCAGCCAGCTGGAGTTCCCCCAAACACCTCCCCCACCTCCTCTCCTCCAGGTTTCTCTCCTCTTTTAGCCCCGCCCCCTCTCACCTCCACACCGTTATTTCTCTCCTTTTTCATGTAATTCTTCCTTTTTTCCTGTGTTAAAAAGAAAACTGCTCACCTTTCTGCTTTGTTCCCCTTGTCTTTACTTTCCAATTCACTGATGGCCGCATTCGACCTCGGACTCCGGAGGCCGCCCCAGCGAGGGGGTGGGGGGGTCAGCGCCATCGCTCTGTCAGCTTCAGGTTTCTTCTTGTTTTCCAAATGTTCTGACACAACAACCTAATGAGGACCGGACCTTCAGACGACCTCATCCCAGCATGTTTGAATGTGTAAATGTGTATCTGTGAGTCTAACGTTTTACAAATTTAACATAATAGATGATGAGATGTCGTCTCATTCCTGGATGGAATGGAATCCACCAGAAACAGGCGGATAGACGTGATGACAGAGATGTATTAATACCTGATACATGTGTGTACTTGTACCCATACTCGTGTGTTTTGATCTCATTTGTGTGCAGCTAGTTTAGTTAATAGTGATAAAATTAGGGCTGGGTACCTTTCTAAAAGATTTGGTATCGGTACCGGTACTGGTACTGGTACCTTCACTTTGGTGTTGGTTCCTGAACGGTACTTTTTTCGGTACCAGTTTTTTAATTAACATAAATTCTGACGAGAAGAAAATGACGTTACACATTACAGTTCACAACTTGAGTTTTATTTTTAACTTTGGTATTTTTCCATTCCAAGCAGTTTTCTTACATAAAAACAAATAATTTCCAGTTCAAAAGACCAGTTTCAATCCAGTGACACATCAGTGTCTAATGTTCACTGCTTCACACTGAGGACCTTTTCACTGAACAGTTTTTCTTCAGAAACATCAACATGTCTGTTTTCTCTGGACACAAACAATTCCACACAATACAACTTTATTTATAAAGCACTTTAAAACAACACCGTTGGCCAAAGTGCTGTACACCAACACATACAAGCATGAAAACTATGAACTCAACAAATACCATAAAAGTGATGAACTACCAAATCATAAAGCAGCAAACAGTAACAACAATAAAACAAATATCATAAAACAGTAAAACCAACATTTCAAGCTGCGTTAAAAGCCACAGAGAAAAAAAAGAGTCTTCAGAGCAGATTTAAAAACAGGAAGTGAGTCAGCTTGTCTGACGTGCAGAGGCAGCTCGTTCCACAGTTCAGGGCAGCGACTGAGAACGCTCGGTCACCTCTCAGCCTCCTGTTGGACTTTGGGATGGACAACAGCAGCTGATCAGCTGATCTGAGAGAGCGTGAGGGATTGTACGGCTGGAGAAGGTCGGACAGATACTGTGGGGCGAGACCATGAAGACATTTGAATACAAACAAAAGAACCTTAAAATTAATCCGGAAACGAACTGGGAGCCAGTGTAGTGATTTTAGGACAGGGGTGATGTGCTCTCGTTTTCTGGTGCCAGTTAAAAGACGAGCAGCAGCGTTCTGAACCAGCTGAAGTCGAGTCAGTAACAACTGGCTCAGACCCACATAAAGTGGATTACATTAGTCCAGACGAGTTGTGATGAAAGCTTGGATTAAAATCTCTAACTGATGGTTTCACCTTGGCCAGTTGTCTCAGGTGATAAAAGCTGGACTTGACCACAGATTTAATCTGAGCATCCAGTTTAAAATCACTGTCCAGCCTCACACCCAGGTTAGTTGCTGTCTCAGTCAGGTGTTTGGTTAAAGGACCCAGATCAACATGGACTTTAGAACCATCACTGGGCTTAAACAACAAGACCTCCGTCTTTTTCTCATTAAAGTGTAAAAAGTTCTGTGACGTCCATGCTCCAACTTCCGCCATACATTCCAGGAGTTGGTTCAAGGCGTACTGTTGATCTTGTTTCAAAGGATAAACAGTACGCCTCGAACAAGCCCGCTCCTGGCTGATGGTGTCTCCGGCAGTAGAAGATGTTCACTCTGAGGGTGTAGATGATGATTGTTACACACACAGATACCTGGTTGTCAGTTTGACAGCACTGACATAGTGTCCCTCACACTCCTAAGGAGAACCTCAACATTTTCATTTCTGCCACTTCCATTTCTGTCTCCTGTCTGTTTGTCCATGTCTCTGTCTCCAGACCATACAACAGAGCTGGTGTCACCACTGTCTTGTTAACTTTTCCTTTGACCTTTGCTGACACTTCCGGTAAGATGGCGCCCATGTACAGGGCTTGCAATTCACCTCTGCTGATGGTGTTCAGATTATTTGTGTTTTGTTTGTTTTTTATCTGGGACATAAACTCGCTGCTGGTGTATGACCGACAGCAGCTTCTGGATCTTTGATTTTCTGCTGCCGATGTTGCTTATTTGGACCAATATGAGTGTACCTCTGGACCCCCCCCCCCCCTCCCCCCCTTCTGGCAAACATGCCTATTTACCTCCGCTGCGCTCCTCACCTGCCTGCCCGAAGACATCGCTACAGACGCTGGGGAAAACGTGCTGGGCGGCTGAAAAAGCTCAAAGCCCTGCGCGCTGCACCTTCCTCTTCAGCTGGTGGTCATGGTTTCCATCGCCAGCTTCCCGCGTGCCCGGACCAGGTAAACAACGGAGGGGCTGTTATTGAAAACCTGCGGCCACTGGTGCACGGTAACTCCACCGCTGCTAGCTCCACTTTGGACAGTATCCGGATGTGTTTGGTCAACACAAGATCTGTTACCAACAAAACTTTTATCCTCAGGGACTACTTTCAAGAGTACGAGTTGGACTTTTTCTGTATCACAGAGACTTGGATGTCTCCGGGTGAGTCCAGCGCCTTGACGGAATTATTGCCACCGAACTGTCTGTATTTAAACGCCCCGCGGCCATCAGGCCGGCGCGGTGGTGGATTATTAACAATATTCAAATCAACTTTTGACTGTAAACAACTGCCCATCCCAGTTTCCTGCGCCAGCTTTGAGCTGAGCGTCTTTGAACTCGGACATTCACCTCAGATTTTATTTGCACTCGTCTACCACCCACCTCGATCTAAGGATTTCATAAATGAGTTTTCTGACTTCTTGGCTGAAATCACACCAAAATATGATCATGTTTTCATTATTGGGGACTTTAATTTGCACGTGTGCTGTCAGGAGAAGCCCTTGGTTAAGGACTTTTTAGATCTATTGGACTCATTTAATCTAACTCAGCATGTAAACAGTCCCACCCAAGAGCGTGGACATACACTGGACCTTGTTTTAACATGTGATGTGACTGTTAGTAATCTTGTTATTGGTGATAATGTTTTTTCAGACCACATGCCAGTCCAGTTTGAGTTCACCCTCCCCCATCTAACTCCTAAGTTGTGCATTCCTGCACGTAGCACTCCGACCATTAACCACTTCACTGCCACACGTTTCACAGATGTTTATAACTCTGAAATGATAATTCAGGCCCCAGTGTTTCTCACCACCACTGAGGAGCTGACATCCCAGTTCAACTCTGTCTGCTTAAAGACTATGGATCATGTTGCGCCTGTTAAAACCAAAAAATCAAAACTCAGAGCAGAACCTTGGCTGAGTGATGTCACCAAGGCCGCTAGGCAGCAATGTAGGAGGGCGGAGCGAAAGTGGAGGAAAGACAGGCTGCAGGTCTCTTTCCAGATACTTAAAGAGAGTTGGTGCCGTTATCAGAAAACAGTAAAAGCTGCTAAATCAAAATTCTTCTCTGATATAATTACCTCAAACTCTCACAACCCACGTGTCCTCTTCTCCACCCTAAACTCTGTTCTCCACCTCACTGAACCATCACCTCTGGAAGCCTCGACTGAGCTGTGCGACAACTTCTTACATTTCTTTTTGGAAAACATTGCGACCACCAGGGCTCTCATTTCCCCTCCAACTCATGACCCATCCATTCCACCTCAATCTGTAGCTCCTTTTGACCATTTTGAACCCATCACTCTATCTTCTCTAGAGCAGGTCATGTGCAACTTGAAACCTTCTGGTTCCACCTTTGATGTGGTCCCCCCTCGACTACTAAAGGAGGTTTTTCCAACTCTAGGTCCATCCATTCTTGCCATAGTAAACAGTAGTTTATCCACTGGCGTGGTGCCAAAATCCTTTAAACATGCTGCTGTCCAGCCTCTCCTGAAAAGCCAAACCTTGACCCCTCAAGTCGTTTCCAACTACCGGCCTGTCTCCAAACTCCCATTTGTTTCTAAACTACTGGAGAAAATAGTCGAGTCCCAGTTGAAGTGCTTCCTGGAGGATCACGCCATCTTAGAGCTTTTCCAATCTGGCTTTAAACCTCTCCACAGCACTGAAACTGCCCTGCTGAAGGTCTTTAACGACATCCTCAGATCCACAGATACTGATGATTCTGTGCTGCTTGTCCTGTTGGACCTCACAGCCGCCTTTGACACCATCGACCATGAGATCCTCATTGCTAGGTTGGAGCAGTGGGTGGGCATCACAGGGTCAGCCCTCAATTGGTTCAGATCTTACCTCACTGACCGATACTTTTGTGTTTCCATCAAGGATTTTAGTTCTGTAGAGGCAGAGCTTAAATGGGGGGTTCCGCAGGGGTCCATACTGGGTCCACTCCTATTCTCTTTATACCTGCTGCCGCTTGGTGCTATTTTCCGGAAACACAACATGCCATTCCACTTCTATGCCAACAACTGTCAAATTTACTTCCCCCTAAGACACAATGGTACATGCTCTATTCAACCTCTGCTCGACTGCCTGGCTGACATCAGGGACTGGATGGCTTTAAACTTCTTAAGTTTCAATGAAAAGAAGTCTGAAGTCATGTTGTTCCCTCCCAACGACACGATCATAAACCACTGCATCGACCTCTCCGCTCTAACCCTGTCAGAAAAACAAAGAGTCACTAATCTGGGCGTGATAATGGACCCTTCCCTGAAACTTAACAATCATGTAAACATGATTAAATCCTGCTTCTTCCAACTGAGGCGGCTGTCTAAACTGAAGCCCATATTGTCCAAAAAGAACCTGGAGACAGTAATACATGCATTCATTACATCTAGGCTTGATTACTGCAATTCGCTCCTGTTTGGTATCAGTCAGACCTCCATTGCACGACTACAACTGGTCCAGAATGCAGCAGCCCCATTTTTAACCAGTACAGGCAAAAGAGAGCACATTACACCAGTTTTGGCCTCACTGCACTGGTTACCAGTTCACTTTCGAATCCAGTTCAAAATACTCCTGTATGTCTACAAATCACTGAACAGTGTCGCCGCCCCCACGTCGCCAAATCCAGCCACACTGGAAAATTAGCAAAGCTCTACCTCTTTATTCCTGCTACTGTTGTTAGTGAGAGGTTTTCTCCACTGCTGGAGATATTCACTGCAACTAGAGCTGTGCTTTTGGCAGGAAATGTGGACAAGTTTGTCTTTTTGGCCAAAAACTTAAAACTTGATTAGTTAGATTGTAAAGAGTCTGTTGCTGCTTATTGTTCTGGTTCTGACTGTTATTGTATTTATTAAGATTTTTATTATTGTTAGTATAGTTTATTTATTGTAGAGTGTTGTTTATTTAAAATATCATTCAAATGGGTCACTTTTATTTATTTTTATATAAACATATAGTTTACTTGGCATATTTTCAAAATAAATATTGTGTAAGTCTTTATTTTGTCTTTTTTGTACCGAAAATTAACCAAACCGAAATCTGATTTTAGTGTGTTCCATATTTTCCTAACAGAGCACTTGGCTCTCAGGCTGCAGGTTTACTTGTGGTTCCTAGAGTTTCCAGCAGCAGAATGGGAGGAAGATCTTTCAGTTCTCAGGCTCCTCTCTTGTGGAACCAACTTCCAATTTCTGTCCATGAGACTGACACATTGTCCAGTTTGAAGACTTTCCTTTTTGATAAATCCTATAGTTAGGGTCGGCTTGTTATGCTGCTATAGACTTAGACTACTAGAGGACAAATTGACCTCATTTCCTTAAATGATTTGTTAAAATTGAATAGTTTTCATTTGATACTATTTCTATCTAAACATGTGATTCTTGACCTGCCATTGTGTATCTGTTCTTACCAAACCTAGCCGGTTGAAGCAGATGGTCCTCTTGTCCTGATCCTGGTTCTGCTAAAGGTTTCTTCCTCACGAGGGAGTTTTTCTTTCCACTGTCGCCTTCATGCTTGTTCAAGATGAGAGTTCAGTGATGGAGTTAAACTCAAAGCTGCTCCTCAGATAAATAATGTTCAGTTATTATTTTATACATGAATGTTTCTGTTAAATTATTATTTTATATTTGAATGTTTCTGTTCAGTCCCTGAGACGATTCTGTTGTGACTTGGTGCTGAAGAAATAAACTGAACTGAATTGAAAATAGACTCAGGTGGAAACCTTAGAAGTTGTTTGGAAGTGAAGATGACAGATTCAGATTTATTTCTCTTCTTCACAGGGACATCATGAACCGCTCAGATTCTGACTCCACCCTCCCGCTCTCTCTCAGCGAATCACAAGCTCTGAATGCTTCCAAGTTGTATCTAAAGGACTCCAGGCTCCACCCCTTGCATGCTCAGAGCGCCACTCACAGTTGGGGAGGAGGAGGTCTGGAAAAGAGCTCAAGTCTCGTGGAGCTGAGAGGAAGCTCCGCCCTCTCCTGCTCTACACACTCCCTCTGCATCACGTCCAACGCCGCCGACAGGTCCGCCATATTCTCGTCCTCCACCTCGTCCAGCTCTTTAGGGAGCGGCCAGGGGGGCGGAGCCCAGCTGGCGAGCAGGAAGAGCCTCTTGAAGGAGGATGGAGGACAGCAGTCAGAATCACCCAGCAGCCGGAGGAGGAAAGCTTTCCGTCAGATGTTCAGGAAGAAGCAAGAACACTGCTGAAGGTCTGAAATCAAACTGCTGCTGCTCACAGAGCGTCGTCTTCATCAGGAAGGCTTTCACAACTTCTGTCCTTGTCTTCATCAGGAAGATGTTCACATCTGTCCTCGTCTTCTGTCCCAGCGGAGGTGGTCTCGGGGAGCTGGACAGGAACCTTCTCAGATGTTATAAGAGACGGTCAGTGAAAGTTCTGTGTACGGAAGCAGCAGATTGTGTTGCAGCTTCACTTCGTCAGTCTTCCATCCTGAGCAGGCACCAGGACACATTCTTCATCAAGTCTTCATCATCGAGATGTTCGCAACTTCTGCTTCAACTCAAACACGAACTGACACACGGCAGGAGGAAAAACAACTTCAGGTTGGACTGAATTATTCATGAAGGAGTTTAAAGTCGACCGCACGCTGCTCAAAGTGCACGTTTAGAACAACAGCAACAAAACCATCTTTATTTTGTGGAAGTGTTGGGAGAATAAAACCAAAGAGTTACAAAATGTTTGATTTCTTATTTTACTCCAGATTGATTGATTTATTCATCCCACAGTTTTTATCTTCCTGTCCATAGTTAAGAAGATAAATTATTATCCATCAATTCAAAAATCACGTATTGATCTGATGAAATCTTTTCAAAAACTAAACAAATATATTTCAGCTGAGCTTTCCTCTTCAGCAGAAATGCATCCTGGGTAATGTGGTTTGCAGATGAGGAAAATTTCAAAGTCAGAAGTTCTTTATTTGTCATTCACATCACATGTGGTACATGTGGTGGAAGGAAATTATGCTCACAGTGTCCCAGTTGCATCCAACAATAAAATGTAAAAGAAAAACAGTAACAAGGTCTAAGATGTCGTGTGAGACATGAAGCCAAGATTCATCTTGTCTGCTGGATTCCTTGGATAGAGAACTTTACTAACTGGCTTTTATGTGAATGTTCCTGTAAAGTCCCTGAGACAAGTTTGTTGTGAACTGGTGCTTTATAAATAAACTGAATTGAATTGAATTGAATAGATATGAACGAAGAAAAACACCAACTAAATATCCACTAAGCACTAACAGCATAAAAACATTACGTCGAACAGCAGCACGAACATGAGTCTGTGTGAGCAGATGAGCACTCATGAACACATCAACATGAAACAGATCAGCAGCAACATGACACGGATCAGCAGCAACATGAAACAGATCAGCAGCAACATAAAACATCAGCAGAAACGGATCAGCAGCAAAATAAAACATCAGCAGAAACATGAAACAGATCAGCAGCAACATGAAACAGATCAGCAGCAACATGAAACAGATCAGCAGCATTGTAAAACAGATCAGCAGAAACATGAAACAGATCAGCAACAACATAAAACAGATCAGCAGCAACATGAAACAGATCAGCAGCAACATAAAACAGATCAGCAGCAACATGAAACAGATCAGCAGCAACATGATATGGTTTTTCACAGTGATTATTCTGGTTAGAGATTCATGAGTCTAACAGCCTCAGGGTAGAAGCTGTTCCTCAGTCTAGTGGTTCTACACTTAATGCTCCTCAACCTCCTTCCTGAGGGGAGTGGGGCAAAAATTGTGTGTGCTGGGTGAGTGTGGTCCTTCATGATGCAGGTGGCCCTCTTCCTGCATCTGGAGGTGTAGATGTCTGTGATGGTGGGGAGGCTGACTCCAACATCTTCTGTGCAGCCTTCACCACTCTCTGCAAAGCTTTTCTTTCTGCAGCTGTGCAGCCTCCATGCCACACGTTGATGCTGGAGCACAGGATGCTCTCCACTGCACACCTGTAGAAGGAGGTGAGGACTGAGCTTCCAGACCAGCTCGCCTCAGCCGTCTGAGGAAGTAGAGTCTCTGATGATCTTTCTTCATCAGGCTGGTGGTGTTGTTGCTCCAGCTGAGGTTGTTGTTCAGGTGCACACCCAAGTACTTGTAGCTGGAGACCACTTCCACCGCAGATCCTCTTATGTTCAGGGGGGTGTAGGTGTGTGTGT